AAAATGTTGAACCCTAAAACCTTAACCTTTAGGGTTCAACATTTTTCTAATTGGGAAAGGGCTGTCCAATTAGAAAATGTTGAACCATAAAACCTCAACCTTTAGGGTTCAATCTTTTCTTAAACGACCGTAGTTTTGTCAATTATGATGATGTTCAAAAATTACATCATGCGCAATGCATATCAAGCAGTTGATTTGTATACGATCGTATACGACCGTATATTTCTGGAAACGACCGTATATTTTTCGAACCACGACCGTATTTTGTTGAAACGACCGTATATTCTTCAAATCACGACCGTATACAGGCCGTATGCAAACCGTATGAAACCGTATAAAAACGTATACGACCATTTTTTTCATGTGTAAAATGATTGCAAGATAAAACGACCGTATTTTTTGAAACGACCAAAAAAATGGTTGTTTTCAAAACGACCAAAAAAAGTGGTCGTTTCGGGTTGCAGGTATATATATATATATATAATTAATATTTTTGCTCTACTACACGGACCGTTTTGAAAGGCATAGAACTAGAGGAGGACTGTTGAATCCACATATCGAGTGGTTAGTTATACGGTATATAGTTGCATCTAAGGCAATAGTTTAATTGCTGCAATTATATAGTATAGCAGAGAAACATCAGGTCCTGGTAGTCATGTTGTATTTGTGTTTTTGCTTGTGTCTTTATTGTCCGAGCTGAAGGAGGGGAGACCACCCACAACCCCTGAGTAAAACACCACTTGATTGAACAAATATCATTGATTGAGGGGTCAAAAACCGGATTCCAATCGGCCACCAAGGAATGCCCTGGCTGAAGAAGAGGACAACTTGCTTCTTGGCGGGGAATTTCCCCGGACGCCCATTGCCAAACCCTTTGGCTATAGTCAACGTCCTCCACTTCAATTCGTGCTTGGAATTTCACTCTAAGCTTCCAACAACTATAGATTTATATAATTGTCGCTCTACACACAACCATAAACGAACCATTGTTTTAACTTAAAGACTCTAGACTACAAAACGAGGTCAACCAGAGTACTACGGCCCGTGGGGTTCGGGTGGAGTGAAAGCGGGATCTGGTGAACTCCAGACCCTCAACGGGCGGTGTCGTCGTCTGAGCCTCCGAATGGGTGTCGTCTTGTTGCCTTGACACCCGAAATCGAGGTGTGCGTTTGGGTCCAGAAAAAAATCGATAAATCAATAGAGATCAATCAGACCAACGACTATAGATGCACCTGGTGTTCACCTTTCTCCAAAATGCTCGTAACGGTCGTGACGACCGGACCACGGAGACCTCGGAGACCCCCCCACGGATCTGACGGGATGGTGACGTCTCGCGTCTTTGGGTGACGCCCTTTTCACCCGAAACGCCACTCAACATGTTTGGTTTTTGGTGTTGGTTGGGGCTGCATGTGTCAGAACCTTAAGAAACCCCCCAGAACTGGGGGGTTGAGGTTTGACTTGTGTTGGCTGGCGGGTTGGACGGCTGTGGGATGGCTGTGGGGTTGCTTCTGCCAACTCCACCGAGACGAAGAGTTGGTGCATTTCTTCCTCGTCTGAGGCACCATGCCTTCGCAAAAGCACTCACCTTGGTGCACTCGCATCTGCCAACCACGTGGCTGACGACTGGTGCCAAGCGGGCCGAAGAGAATGCCGATCCCTTGAAGGCCTTAGACCAGAAGTACCATTTCAGCTGCCGGGCAGAGGATGTGAGTTGGGATCAGGGAACGAGATGAGCTGCTGATGGCGCCCCTAGGGAACGAGGGTTCTGTTTTTGGTCAAAACAGAATCTTGATCCCATTGCAGTGGGAGGCGTGCCCATGTCAGCAGTTCACCCATGTTTGTGACGAGCATACTTTGTTCACGTGAGGATATGTTTGGGATGCTCATGATTTTTCTGAGCAGAAACAGGCGGAAATTGTCAGCCACTAACCCTGTGGACATCTACTGACTCTAGTAGTTATGGGAGTTCCCCAATTCGATTGTGTCGGGATGTTCGGCTTTAATCATGCAATCCACCCTTCTCATCTGCCAAAGACCCAAACGCAAGAGATGAAACCTCAGTCTTCAAGCAGCACCCCGTTCATTTGGTTCACCTTGTTCATGGCTCCTCACTGCTGTGAACACACGCTGAGGTTCTCAGAGTGTGTTCTCGCTCTGCTGCGGACGGACGATGGAAAGGGAGGTGTTGGATGCCCCAGGTGGGCGAGACTTCATGAGCCTGGGTGTGGCAATGGTAACCCTAGGGATCCAAGTACCTTCTCAGAAGGTAATTGGACCCCCGACACCTACATAACAGTGTCTCCAATCACCTTCTGAGAAGGTGTTTGGATCCCTAGGGTAAGGGTTTTTTGATGGTGTTTGCTTGCTTTGCTTGAAGCTTGCTTGAAGCTTAGTCGACCTGAGAAAACATCAGTGACGAACGTCTGAGTCGGAACAACAAACGGTACTGTAGCGCCCGAAGGTTTCAATCAGATGATCCTGATACGATCCCGAGTCCCTGTTTAACTTGAATTCCATCTGTGCACCAAATTCTTCTTGGCGTGATCGACCTCCCACACGACGTACGGTGGAGGAGTTCAACCACCTGAAGGTAGGTGCCACCAAGCAACACAGGTCGGATCCGATGGGAGTTGCTGATCTCCCAGCAGATGCTGATCCTCTGTTGATTTGGGTGTTTTCTGCAGGACATGGAACACGCCACTCAGCAAGCTTCTGGAAATGGGGACGCCTAACTAGAACTAGTAACTAGGAGAAACACGGGGTGAAACGATTGTTGCTCCCGACATATCCATGTTCATCCATTCTCCCACCAAAACAGAACAGGACTTGTACAAGCACCAGCACCTTCAAAGGGGTCACCAATGGAAGCCCCTACTCCACTAAGGGGCCTCCATTGTCCTCTAAATCAACAGATCGTTCTCGCAAAGCTCCTCCAATCGGCGCTTAGGATTCAACTGGCCCAGCAGAGCCTAGACTCCTTGAGAGCAACAGTGATGCAGGAGGATCAGGAGGAGGACTTGCCTCGGGTCTTCTTCCCATACCTCTCCTGGACCAAGGTGGACTTGCCACTCTTCAGACAACACATCTTTCAGACCCTTGGGCATGGCGAAGTGTCAGTTGGATCGGAGGGAGACGATGACCGTGCTGGGTCCAAGCAGAACGGAGAATGCCAACGGAGAACACCCAAAACTCTTGGAGCTAGAGAGAAGCAGCGGGAGTAGCATCCAATGAAATTGGAACAATGCAAAGAAGATAAAAAGATGGCCCCGGAAGCAATGATGACACGCACAAATCGAGAAGTGAGAGAGAGAGAGAGGGAGGGAGAGGGAGAGAATGAGGTGTTGGAGGTGCTGTTGTTGTTGTTGTGGTCGTTGTTGTTGTCGTTGTCGTTGTTGTCGTTGTTGTCGTTGTTGTCGTTGTTGTCGTTGTCGTCGTTGTGGTCGTTGTGGTCGTTGTTGTCGTTGTCGTTGTCGTTGTCGTTGTCGTCGTCGTCGTCGTTGTTTGTTTGTTTGTTTGTTTGTTTGTTTGTTGTTGTTGTTGTTGTTTGGTTGTTTGTTTGTTTGTTTGTTTGTTGTTGTTTGTTGTTGTTTGTTGTTGTTTGTTGTTGTTTGTTGTTGTTTGTTGTTGCTTGTTGTTGTTTGTTGTTGTTGTTTGTTGTTGTTGTTGTTGTTTGTTGTTGTTTGTTGTTTTTTGTTGTGGTTTGTAGTAGTAGTAGTAGTCGTAGTGGTAGTGGTAGTGGTAGTGGTAGTAGTAGTTGTAGTTGTAGTTGTAGTTGTAGTAGTAGTTGTTGTTGTTGTTGCTGTTGTTGTTGTTGTTGTTGTTGTTGTTTCTTCAATGTGATTGTGGAGGTTACGGCTGTTGAATTCACCAACGATGCTTTCAAGAAGGAATTGTTCCGTGCCGACTTGAATTGAATCATATATTATGTTCTAGGTTCTAGCACTGCCCCACAATCCTTCCAAGATGTTGGCTTGAACATCTTCAACAAAAACTATTCTGGTATGAGAGCGTGACTGACGTGCACCATCGTGCAGCCTTTGCAGGGGGTTGGTCATGCTGCTAGAGCTACTTACGTCGTGTTGTTGCTGTTCCAAACCTGTGCTGACCGGTTAGGCCTGACCGAGGCGCGAGAGACCTGCCATCTGCGCTTCCGATGTCTGGGTCTTACGGAGGTTCCACCGTGGCGAACGGGTCCGTTTTCGTCCGATGCCCGTAACTGGCCGCGCCGAAAAGCCACGCCCTCCACGGTCCAGGAATCACATTTTTGCCATTGCTCTTTGGCGAAAGGGACCGTGCGGACTGACTGGAAGAGCTGGTTTCTGGGCTTGGTCGAAAAAGAAGGTACAGGAACCGCAAAAAATAAACATTCTACCAGCATACTCAAGTTAGGGTTCTGAGACCAGTCCCTTGCGAACTGGTGGGATCACGATTCATCGTGAGATTGAGACTCATCTTTTCATGCTGGATGTGAACTTTCTGCCGTGAAAAGGAACAAACTGTTGCCAAACCATGGATTGAAACATGTGAAAATTGTGAGACGAGGGATGTATCTAAGGGATGAACAACCACCCCGAGTTGAGTGCGGTAATTGGTCAACCTGGGGATCACATTGAACCAAGCGGAATTCAGTTGCATGCGTCCGGCTTTCTGTTGGGTGGGCCTCGACTTTCGGAGAATACCTCCGCAGATCATCGCTGAGGGATATTCTGATGGAAGCCAAAGTCAGGGTTTTGGTTGTATCACATTCAGAAAAAAAAAACTTTACTTTCACTTGCGCACAGTGCATCGAAGCGCCGCGCCTTATCAGAAAAAAAGAACACATGGACAATTGACATGTTCTTGGACCACCCACTCGTAGTCAAATCAGTTTCGCGGCTCGGTTCCTGTGCACTTGTGTATTGCTCAGCTTGAAAGCTTTCGTTGGTTTTAGCCCAAGCTTTGCAAAAAGGATCGCAACAGACTGTTACACTTCTAAAAACTAACATGGATCTCTGAAAGCCACTGCATTTGGTGGAGGAAAACCATCTTCCAGGGGGGCCAATCTCAGGGTACATGTTAGTTTTCAGGAGGGTTTTGTTGGATTGAGTTCATCACTTTTTGGATCTCTTACAGCTGTTCTCTTCAAGAGCGCGGCTCACGTGTTCCGTTTCATGTTCAAATGCTCTGAACCCGCTGAGGTCAAGCGGAGCAACACCAATTTTCACATCATGCAAGGCTACATCAAGTCGGATGTTGAGCAAGGACTGTTTCGCCACATGAGGCCAAATGAATTGGGTGCTACACCCTCGGGCATGAGGTCTCCGTCCGGCTCAGGACAGAGGAGACCTCTTTTCCTTGGACACATAGGCGGCCACTATAGATCCGAAGCTCTGTCTACTACTACAGACATATTGAGACATATTGAGATATGATATATACTTACTAGAGTGTAGGACCCCCTAAAGACAAACCAAAGGTGAAGAAGGGTTGCTGGGATCCTGGTCGCAAGACCTACACCTCGGCCTGCTGCCGCGGCCCACTCCGGTCGAGCGAGCCAGCTGGGGCCGTGGGAAGATGTCATCCCAATAGGCAACAAAGACATCATAACCCAGACACTCCATGGGACTGGAATCATATATGGCTACATTGGCCCCCTCAACCACCCCAAACTGATCGGCAGTCCTATGGCAGTCCATGCCATGGAGTGTCTGGGTGGTTCAAGCTTGTTCCACATGAACTCCAAGAGTCACTGCGCTGAACTCCAGAAGTCACCGCTCTTGCTCTCGTAGCGATGCCCTTGGTTACTAGGAGCTTGGTGTTGCTATGGTAGTAATGCCAGGAGCTACTAGTACGTAGCTTCTTGCTCCGTTCGGTTCGCGATGCCCTGTTCTTCCTCACTTTTGGAAAGCCCCCTAATGGGGATGGGCTCTGACAGACCACGTGACAGACCACGTTCGATCCGACCACGAGCGCGACCCGTTGTCCCGACCAGTCCGCGAGTTCGACACCGGTCAACCGGTCGGGTCGACCGGTCAACCACGTTGAACCCTAAACCCTAAAGCCTAAACCCTAAACCCACAGCCACGCGGCGAAGGATACGACCTGTCGGAATGGCTTTGCTCCCGGAACCCCTTCGCCAACATCAACGGCTTCGGCCGCTTCACGCCCCATGCATCTAACATGGTGGGTGACCGGCTGCGTAACCGGCTGGTGGGTCGGTGGCTGGGTTGACAGTCTGGCCGGTTTTGAAGCAAGACCTCCAAAGATAATTTAGTTGGAACTTTCAACAGATCATTGAATTTTACGAATTTTCACTTGGAACTTCTGTATAACAATATTGCTGCGCATTCTCCGTAATCAGAGTCAGGTGGTGGAAATATACCGTATTTTCATCAACTCTGTAGGCCTCCCAAATCCGTCGATCCAAAATTTGAAGGATGTTTCCAGCAAAGTGGCACACTTCAGTTCGAGTGGGTCCGGCTATATACTGGATAGATATATATATATATATATTTAAATGTATATATATATATAATTCAAGGAAGTAGCATTTAACAGGGATGCACGTTCTTAATGACCTCGTTCAAGCACAAAATGTCATGCCCCAAACCTGGTTCCGATGCCATCTCCTCGAAAGCGTAGTCACTTCACGTGAGAACCATCGAGAACCTCCTCAGGATGTCGAGGTTTTTTGATCATTTGGACGTCTTCGTCGACAATGCTCATGAGGGCAAGGTTGGGCAGGGACAGTCGCTGGGTGGGCCTGTGTTTTTGGAAAGGACATGCCAAGCAGCCAGTCTTGAGTCATGTTTTTTGTTGGGGGGGTTGTCGTTGTTGTGGATTTTGTTGTTGACGGTGATGATGATTCTGACAACGACGGTGATGATGATGACGATGATGTAGTAATCGTGGTGGTGGTGGTGGTGGTGGCCGTGTAGTAGTAGATAGTAGTGGATAGTAGTAGTAGTAGTAGTAGTAGCAGTAGTCGTCGTCGTGGTGGTGGTGGTGGTCGTCGTGGTGGTGGTGGTGGTCGTAGTAGTAGTAGTAGTAGTAGTAGTAGTAGTAGTAGTAGTAGTAGTAGTAGTA